GAAGGTTGAGAAAACACCAAAGGATCCAGACCTCTTTTGGGGGGACCTGCACTTCTCGCTCTCCGCCAAAAAAAGGCAAGAAAAGAAGAGGGGCAGAGATCAGAGGCCGAGGGAGAGAGAGTGGAAGTGGAAGAGACAACAGTGTGGTGGTGGTGGAGGTGGTGGTGGAGCTCGCTGCTGTGCTATGGCTGCCGCCTCTGGTATTGCTGGTACACTGTTTTTTTTTTTTTTTTGAGACAATGCTGGTACACTGCTGCTCGCTCGTCTTGTTGCCTTTCTTTTGGGTTTCTATGTTTCGGGCCCTGGAGCATTTCCATCCAAGCTCAAACAGGCCCAACCCTGGACTAGCCTGGGCATGTGTTGGGTCGGGCTGTGAACCCAAAGCCTGAGCCCGACCCGGCCCAATCCAAATAAAGAGATAGTGCACATTTTTGTATTTATAAAAGGAAATTATTTTAAATCATTTTTGGTATATGAATATATTTATTTTTGTAGAAACAATATATTTGAGTTGGTTCCGGTGCCGGCTTCGGGTTCAATTCGTAAGGTTGGGCTCCCATGCCTAGGTTTACCTGGACACGATCCTCAAACATTTTTTATGATTTATTTTTTTTATAAAAATCAACTCCATCTCAAACTAGAATATAATAAATGTTTATTATTCATGCTAAAATTATATTAACCGGAAACTTGATACATGTGTGGATACATAGACAAAACACCGTGTCCCTAGTAAGCCTCTATTAGACTAGCTCGTTAATCAAAGATGGTTAAGTTTCCTAGCCATGGACATGTGTTGTCATTTGATGAAGCGGATCACATCATTAGAAGAATGATGTGACGGACAAGACTCATCCGTTAGCTTAGCATATTGATCGTTCAGTTTTATTGCTATTGCTTTCTTCATGTCAAATACATATTCTTTCGACTATGAGATTATGCAACTCCCGGATACCGGAGGAATGCCTTGTGTGCTATCAAACGTCACAACGTAGCTGGGTGATTATAAAGATGCTCTACAGGTATTTCCAAAGGTGTTTGTTGGGTTAGCATAGATCGAGATTAGGATTTGTCACTCCGAGTATCGGAGAGGTAACTCTGGGCCCTCTCGGTAATACACATCATGATAAGCCTTGCAAGCAATGTGACTAATGAGTTAGTTACGGGATGATGTATTACAGAACGAGTAAAGAGACTTGCCGGTAACGAGATTGAACTAGGTATGAAGATACCGACGATCGAATCTCGGGCAAGTAACATACTAATGACAAAGGGAATAATGTATGTTGTCATTACTGTACGACTGATAAAGATCTTCGTAGAATATGTGGGAACCAATATGAGCATCCAGGTTCTACTGTTGGTTATTGACCGGAGAGGTGTCTCGCTCATGTCTACATAGTTCCCGAACCCGTAGGGTCTGCACACTTAACGTTCGATGACGATTTTGTATTATATGAGTTATGTGATTTGATGACCGAGGAGTCTCGAAATGGTCGAGAAGTAAAGATTCATATATTGGACGATGATTTTCGGACACCAAAAGTGTTCCGGAGGTACCGTGTACATATCGAGTCACCGGAAGGGGTTTCGAACATCCCCCCAGCAACTACATGGGCCTAATGGGCCAAGAAGGGGACAGACCAGCCCCTAGGGGGCTGGTGCGCCCCATGTAGGCCGAAATAAGGGGGGAAGGAAAGAGGGGAAGAGAGAAATGAAGGGGAGCAATTCGGCCTCCCCCTTCCTTCTCTCCTCCCTCCTCCTTCCTTCCCCCTCCGGATAAATATGGAAGGGGGGAGGCCGAATTGGGAGGCGCCCAAGTAGGATTCCTCCTACTTGGGGCGCCCCCTTGGCTGCCTCTCCTCCCTCCAACCTATATATATGAGGGGGTGAGGGAGTCCTGGACTAAGGGGTCCTTGGGCGTCCGGCCTGTTATCCATGGGCCGGACTGATGGGCTGCGAATACATGAAGGCCGAAGACTGCACCGTGTCTGGATTGGACTCTACTTGGCGTGGAAGGCAAGCTTGGCGACCGAAGATTCCTTTTTATGTAACCGACTCCTTGTAAACCCTAGATCCCCTCGGTGTCTAAACCGAAGGGGATAGTCCGGAAAGGCCAAATACATATACTCATTACCATACCCACATAGGCTAGACTTCTAGGGTTTAGCCATTATGATCTCGTGGTAGATCAACTCTTGTAATATTCATATTCATCAAGATCAATCAAGCAGGAAGTAGGACCTCCATAGAGAGGGCCCGAACCTGGGTAAACATGTCCCCGTCTCCTGTTACCATCGATCCTAGACGCATAGTTCGGGACCCCCTACCCGAGATTCGCCGGTTTTGACACCGACATTGGTGCTTTCATTGAGAGTTCCACTATGCCGTCGACAAAAGGTTCGATGCCCCCTTCAATCGTCAATAATGACGTTGTCCAAAGAGGAACCTTTGTCCCCGGATAGATCTCCGTATTTGGCGTCTTCGTACTGCGGGTCAACTCACTTGGCCATCTGGAGTAGATTGACAGCTATGCCACTGGCCATCAGGTCAGATTCGTAAGCTTGAACTACGTCGTGGATATCCATAAAGACTTGATCTTCGAGGGATTTGAACCCGTGGCGATCGCTCCCCCTCATCCCGATGAACGTGACTTAAGTCTGTCATCGGATCACACCCAGGAGATGGTTCCTGCGGCTGCAACGACCTTAGAGCCGAAGCAGATCGAGCCATCCGAGGCCGCAGAGTCCGCGGCGTTGGAGCCGCACATGGACTCGAGGCCCTGCAATATTCGCTTTAATGGAACTTCGGACTCGTCTCCGGCTATAAGTTCCGGACTGTGTACACCCGTGGACACCGAGCTAGATCGGTTATCGATCTTCGAGTTCAGCGCCGCTGACGTTTTCCAGCACTCGCCTTTGGGTGATGTGCTAAAATCATTAAAGAATTTGTCCTTGGAGAAGGACTCGCAGCCGAACTATGTCCGGCTCGAGCTAGAGACAGATGATGAGGAATCTTGCTTCCCACCCGTCGCCCACTTCATAGCCACCGTCGATGACTTAACCGACGTGCTTGACTATGGCTCCGAAGACATCGACGGTATGGACGACGATGCCGACAAGGAGCAAGGCCAAGACTCGCCATTCACTGGACGTTGGACGGCTACCTCTTCGTACGACATGTACATGGTTGATACACCTAAAGGATCTGGCGACGACAAAGAAGAGCCAGATGCGAATAAAACCTCCGAGATACAGTCCAAGCGCCAGCGGCCCAAACGCCGCCCCAAGCTTCGCCGCTCAAAGGACGACAACACTGGCACCGGAGAAAATAGTACTCCGGGCGACGCCGAAAACAATGAAGACCCTATCGGGGCTACATCCTAACAGGAACACGACAGCGGGCAAGACAACCCTGACGAACAGGCCATAGAAGATGACTCGAAAGATGATAGTTACTGTCCACCCTCCGAGGAGGAGACAAGCCTTGGCAACAAAGACTTCATCGTGCCTGAGGATCCTCTCGAGCAGGAGCGCTTTAAGCTTCAGCTCATAGCCACGGCAAGGAGCCTGAAAAAGAAACAACATCAGCTTCAAGCTGAACAAGACCTGCTCGTCGACAGATGGACTGATGTCCCGACAGCCGAGGAATACGACCTCAACCGCCCAGCCAAGAGCTACCCAAAACACAGACTGCTACCTCAATTCGATGAGGAGGCGCCGGAGCACATATCTCCCTCGCGTAGTGCGGACCGACCACCACGTGGTCGGGACAGGGCGGCTGAACGGCCACCCCGCGGTCGGGATAAAGCGGCAACTCGGGTCGAACAGCAGACCACCCCACCACCCCGCCAAAATAGGGACGGAAGAGTCTAGAGTCATATGTACGACCTCCGACAGACTCTGGACAGTAAAGCAGGACACACAATATCGATCTACGGATCGCGAGGACGTGCCTCGAAGCACGATGACAGCTACCTATTCGGACGTGACAAACCTAACCACGCTCGGGACGAATGCCGCAAACGGACTCCATCAGAGCTCCGCCACGATGCGGCCCGATATAGAGGCGCCGCACACCCGCTCTGCTTCACAGATGAAGTACTGGATCATGAATTCCCCGAGGGGTTCAAGCCCGTCAATATCGAATCATACGACGGCACAACCGATCCTGCAGTATGGATCGGGGATTCCATTCTCCACATCCACATGGCCCGAGGAGACGACCTCCACGCCATCAAATACCTCCCATTAAAACTCAAAGGACCAGCTCGGCACTGGTTAAATAGCCTGTCTGAGAACTCCATCGGCAGCTGGGAGGACTTGGAAGAGGCTTTCCTCGACAACTTCCAAGGAACTTATGTTCGGCCACCAGATGCTGATGACCTAAGCCACATAGTTCAACAACCCGGAGAATCAGCCAGAAAATTCTGGACTAGGTTCCTAACCAAAAAGAACCAGATCGTTGACTGTCCGGATGCCAAGGCCCTAGCAGCCTTCAAACACAGAATTCATGACGAATGGCTAGCACGCCACCTCGGACAAGAAAAGCCGAAGTCAATGGCAGCCCTTACGACACTCATGACCCGCTTTTGCGCAGGCGAGGACAGCTGGTTGGCTCGTAGCAAAAACACAGCCAGCG